TCACTCTAGTACTCAATTTCCCTCCCAGACATCTACTCGCGAATTATCACTATTTACGATCAAGTGATCAAGTTGGTGTTTGAAATCTATACAAAAGCGCTGCAGAATACCAACTCGTCACCCGATCCAAAATACATGGGTGTGAATTTTGACCAATCAAATAATTCCGTAGTAAATAGCAAAATCGGCAATAATATTATATGAAATAATGGAATAGAAAAGATCAGAATACTTTGACATACCGAAACTGGCTGAAATCTACGCTGCTTTATATCTTTCGCAATTACTAATAATCTATTATTAGAAACGTATACGTGCTAACATGTCCACTATTATCATAAATTGTTGCAATACAAACAAATTTCTTCATGAATGCTATAATATAAACTAGCAATTATATTCCTGTATTTCCAATATTAAAGATCCAAAGAAGTCAGAGAAAAATTTGATTCTAGAGCTTTTGCCAAAGTTGTTGCACCTGTATCTCCAATTTGATTATACTGGAGATTTAAAGAAGTCAAAGAGGAATTTGATTCTAGAGCCTTTCCCAAAGCTGTTGCTTCTGTATCTCTAATTTAATTCTGCTGAAGATTTAAAGAAGTCAAAGAGGAATTTGATTCTAGAGCCTTTGCCAAAGCTGTTGCTCCTGTATCTCCAATTTGATAATATTTCATATCATTTGATGGATTCTCAAATATTTTTCCTATTATCTCTAATGCAAACATGTTGTTTGGTTCAATCTGCACTAATCTGCCAAAAATTTTTAATGCATCATTATGCTGATTAAGCATATAGTAGGTGTCTGCTATTAATCTCAATGTTAATGCATTATTTGGTTCATAATTCAAAGATTCACTAAAATACTTCAAAGCATTCTCATATTGATCAAGCATCAAATATTCAGCTCCGCCATGTCTCAATTCAAGTGCATCAGTCTCTGATAACTCAACGTTAACCCGGGACATTGTATGGGACCTGTTGATTCGATATTTATTGTGAACGGCGGAATAATCAAATGCAGTATACGATATAGGGTAATAGGTATAAAATCTTCCTCCGCAGTCTTGCAGATCCCATGATCGACATTTAATTTTAGAATAGTGTTACGAGTCGTTTCGCATTCGGGCAACAGAACAAACACCACTAGTTTATAACATAAAACGGAAACAGATATATTATTAGCAATCCATTTAAAACGTAAATGAGCAGGTAGTGGAAAAGATGGCAATACGGTCTAAAATTATTAACAAAATACGTGTATATAAATTATTTGGTAGTACTGCAAAGCATCGCTGAGCGATTTTTAATTTAAACACATTTACTATATGTTTGTAGGAAAGATTAGTTCTACCAGTCATTGGTATAATAGCGCTTCGCGTAATAATTTTTATCGCATAGCTTCATATTCGTGGCCGCAGGATATATCTTCTTCTTTCTTCAATCCTTGCAAAATCAAGTTTATCAGCGAAGCCGTGCGCTCTGCGCATTTGCATTATAATAAAACCAATCTTGAGCACGTTTCATAAATATGCCACCTGGTCGATAAAGCCATTGAAGTACTACTTTTGGATTTTTTTAACTGAATTAATGCGTTTTTTCCATAGACGGAATGGGTATTAGTTGCTGCTCGATTTTTTTCATACAAAGTTACAAAATATACCACTTGGATTTTAAATTTGAGGAATTTAGAGTTATAACTTGTATATTATTTCTGGTTAGATTGTTTTTAATACGGAATACAAAATCATGCCAATGATTATTATTAGTACTATCATATTTGGGTGGAGTGGATGATATTTTGCGAACCGTGACTACGATTTCGGTCATATCTACTTGTGGATTTTAATAACGGCTTTTATTTAATTGTTCGCTATTCAAATGACACGACGGAGCAAATGCAAACTCGTCGTCACTTGTCTGCGATAGCACCAAATAACGAATTTCTTTTCCAAATACCTAATTCCGCGTAAACCCGTCGTCACTTGGCCAACTAACAATTATTTTTTTTCAATTATTACCGCAGGCTAACTCCGCAAGTTATCTCTGCAGTGAGTGGGTGTTAGTATCAGTATAACTTAACTGAGGGTATAACCTAATGGCTAAATCGAGCCAAATCCGATAAACTGATGTCTAAATAACAGCTAAATCGAGCCAAATCTGCTAAAACCGGCTGAGTGGGTATAACCTAAACTAAGTGGGTTTAATAAACCATTTATGTATTCTTTTGGTATCATTATGTATTTGATTGCTACTGGTGAACACCTTTTAGAGATAGGCAGTTCGATAGAGATTTAGTATGCAACAAACATTATGGGCGGACTACGACCATCGATGCCTGATTCCGCACCAGAGCGGTGTTGTGATGCTTATCCCATATGCGCGGAGACGATATTCACAAGCTTATTAGAAAGGTGGAGAAGGACAATTCTGACCGTTTATCATAATGATGTAAAACCCTTATCACGTCTTGAGAAGGAGAATAAATACTGGGGATTTGCCTAAACCAAGAAACAGTGCCAAGTTCAGAAATAGATTAATATCTTTCATTGTTCTATAATTTAGCGATTAAAATTTTGGATAGTGAATTATGATGTTTCTTCAACACACGTCGAATTAATAAAAAATTTTGATGTCTATAGAAAGTTAGAATTGATACACAATGTACGTTGATGGTAGTAGTTTTTCTTTGAGATTGATGTTAACTAACGTCGATTTTAAACCATAAATTATCCATAATAGTAAAGGTAACCATACGCAGTAGTCAATAATCTGAAACCTTTTCCGACATTTTATATCCAAATTAGTCCATTTGTGTTAGTTATAATCGACGAATTATTTGGATGTTACGAGATTAAAGTTATAACCCATTAATATTAAATCGATGTTTCCTCCGTAGTCATTGTGAGTGTCTTGTATTTAGTAGAAGTAGAAAGTGCAAATATGAGAAGGCTATGCATATGAACTTTTGCAGCTCCCAACTGGAATGTGTAATTGCATGCTATATATTAGGATATGCCTACTCACGTCTCTTAGTGTAGTAGTGCAACATAGAGTTCCTACCCAATAGAAACCCATATTAAAATAACACTGACCTCTGTCACCACTATGTAATTCACAGATTTATAATTGTATTACAATCACGCAAACATTTAACATTACTGTTAGACGTTGTACTAGTAGGGATGAGAATCTTGTAGTTAGAGATATTAGCAATAGAAACAAATTAGCTATATATAGATATTTTTAAACGTGAGAGAGCAAAGAAATAACTTGACATTTTCTGATTAGCAAATTTTCTCTGCGCGTGACAAATTGTCATATGATCCGTGACACAATAATTTCTATATAGCCCATCGCCTTGTAAAAAAAATTTTCCAAGTTGATTGACATCATGAGCAAAGATATTGAGCCGTACTCTGGCTATCACGGTAAATGTTTTTGACAGCTATTTAAAAGAAAAAGTATTCCCTTTCCTTTTCTAACCTGCTATCTAACAATATTCAAGCCCTTGTCTCCTACATAAAAGATAACAAGCAGTGTTCCTACACTGAATTTTTAAATCTTAAGCGCAATGTCGTTCTTTTATCACCACCTTTTTCAAATGAATGGGGTGTTCATGACCTCATTTGGGCCCGCAGATTTTTAAAGGAATCGAAAGAAGCAAACAAATTGAAGGAACGTGACTATGCAGCTTTGGAAGAGGAGGTGATGTGTTCGTGTATTTGGCAATACAGTATAGGGAGCTTCTGTCTATTCTTGTCTGGATTAGAAGTATTGGTTCTTGTCCCAGCCCGAGTAATGGTAGCGGCAACTCCGCCTATTCTTGTCTGGGTTAGGAGGTATCGGCTCTCATCCCGGCCCTACTATTGCGATTACGATTTACCTTTTCTCTTTGAGATAAATTTTACTTATTATATAGAAGCTATGTGTTCATTTTCGGCTTCATATTCCTCCGTAGGTAAAAAAACAACGTAAAAACAAGCGTTTGCAGAACTACTGGGAAACGATAATCTACGAGCGGGAAAAGGTTTTTACGCCATTTGCCTTTATGTATTAAGTTTTTTGTGTTATAATATGAGATAACGATTAAACTCTTGCAAGATAGATGGGAGCACAGCGAGCACATCTCATTGGTAGTATGAAAATATACAACAAAGTGGCAGAACATAACGCTGAAACATTGGCCTTTGAAGACTATTCCAATATCGTTCCTTCTCAAAGTGGACATCTTGAAACAATCAGAGATGAAGAAAACAACACATTTGGAAATGATGAGAAGGATAAGGTATAGTGGTGTGGATATGTTAGTTTGAATAAACACTAATGAGCATTATTCTTTTCAGGCCGAGTCCAAGTACTCCGAGGAACCTGATATCGATGATGTATCTGAGGACGAGAATTTTGGTTGTAATGTAAGTTTGTGCTACACGAAATTCATACTTGATGAATTAGAATGGAAAGAATGAGGAAATAAAGCTGTTTTTTATTAATACTTTAGGACGATTATGAAGAAAACGAGGAGGAAAACGAGGAGGAAAACGAGGAGGAAAATGAGGAAAATACTCCCCCAAAAGTTAACAAAAAGGCCTTTCGTAAAGCACACGAGTCTATTCTTGACTCTTCAAAAATGCGGTTGCACACAGGAAAGGTAGTAGAAGACATCCTATTTGATTTTTGTAAAGACATGGAATATGAGCAGTGAGTTTTGAATCTTAACTTTTTTTTTCTTGCATCTCAAAACTTAATTTTTTTATACTAATGCTGAGATGTTATTAGCCATGCTCACTCATACATTATAGATTATGACGATGCGGAAATTAAGGCGTTATTTACTGAAACTGAATGGCAAGAATTGACCGTTGACCGATTAGGAATTCCCTCAATTCCAGATGATATTGCAAAGGAATTGTCGAGATATGGAAAGAAGACATTAGAAGAATTGTGCAAAGTTTCGATGACATCTTATCTTCGAGATAATGCTAAATACAACGTCCATCAACATTATGACAATGAATGGATACAGATTTCTGTAAGAAATCTTGTAAATTTATACGAAAATACAGATTGCCCTCTAACGAGATATCATTATGAGGGCTGGTACACTGTAGCACTTTTTGGAAGTTGTATAGATTTCTGTTTTAGGGATATGCGATTAGGAACTGATATAAAGAGGTCTTTTGTCACTTTTTTTAACCAATACAATCACATTATCACTAGGTGTCAACTAAAACAGGTTGTTTATCATATATTCATATTTATAGAACCAATGCACCTTCATTAGCTTCTGCCAATAGGAAAAATCATAATCAGTTAAGTAACACAAGAAAGAGAAAGTTAACTGGGCGAAAAATTGATATGTTATTGACAGACATCTTGAGGTAGGGACAATTGAGGCAGCAAGATCTTTTAAGGGTGTTTTTGGCCAAAAATATCTCCACGAAAATTTCAAAATGCCAAAGACACTTCGCGATATGCTAGTCAATATGAATAGAAATGTAAATTGTGAAGAAGAAAAGGTGAACAAGTTTCAAGTATTTGGGATTTTACATCTCGGATTAAGGGTTCAGGCTACTAGGATGTGGTGTGCTGGTGGATCAACAACTATTTTCTATAAGGACCCCAATGTGCATTATTTAAGTAATAAGTTTTCAGTGGAAGGGGTTAAAATTTCCTCAGGTTTTTAGCCATGATATATCAATACAAGGTGAAAATGTTATTTATTTACTCTTGTATATCTTTCTTTTAGCTTTCCTAATAATTCATACCGTTTGTACAGGTCATTGTGAAGAATAATTTGAATATCATAATGAACAGTACAAATTCTGAGTCAGAAGATGACTTATATAATGAGCTTATGGGAGTTAATCAATCTTCCCGATCATCTATGTCGAGTTATTATTTTGCTGCTGATAATAAAAAGAAGGCCAAGTCAACGAAAAAGAGTTCTGTGAAAAAGAGAAGGTTAAGATAAATAGAAACCTCTTCAACATCGTTCCGGTTTATTTTAATCCAAAATTTTATTAATTTTCAAATTACATGTCAATATTTGCAAATAAAAATTTACAATATATCACGGGCAGTTTATAAAAAATAAAGCAGTTCATATGATTCATTGCATAGACGTCAATGTCAGTTATATGACAAAAAACCTCCAGAACTGAGACCTGAGGTACAACATATATACACTCACCTGGCAAAAATGAATGAAATTTTTGTCGATCAATTAGTAAACATATGAAAAATCTTTTTCTTCAAAGA